ACCCAGTGCTAAACAAACAGTAAATAGTCAATGCCAGTTCTTGACTCCATCATAGTTTACACTGAGCAGTACTCAGAACAGCATCAGACACAATAAGATATTCAATAAGAGTTTTTGTATTGAGATAATGATCATCTCAGATTCAGAAATGTGTTTTTGTAATGCCGACATTGGTAATAATACCTCATGGTAACTTGGTGTAATGAAGTTTAAAAGGCCTGAGTATGAATGCCAGCGCTGTCATGTAGTAACTGTGTGACCCTGAGCAGGGCCCTGGGAGCTAGTTTCCTCATTATAAATGCAAGGTGGTCCTGGGGACCTCAGAGTTGTTGTGAGGACTAAGTCACACACCACACAGAAACTGTCCAGCATGGTAAATGGCTCCAATAGGCACTCAGTAAATACCTATTACAGAAAATTAAAAATCTCTTATCATTTTTATTCTACTATATTTCTACTTTTTACCATTATTTGAACCAGAAAGATAATGTTAAATTTTCTTTAAAGTTTTTTGAGGTTTGATATTTTTTGCTAGTGAAAAGGTAGGCATCCTAGAAAGTATTTTTTTTGTTTTCTTTTTTGGTAATTATCTAGATCTTTAAAAAAAAATAACAAAACAAGAAAAATCACTCTTAACTTTGGGCTGGAAATCAGGAGAGAGAGAGGAACAAAAAAAGTAGAGAGAGGAAGAATGAAGGGAGAGAGATTCCTTAGATTTCTGATGGAAACATCACCCACAAACCCTTGATTTAGAGCCCATGTTGAGGTCCTGGTGGTAGGGAAGGCCCACTTAAGAGATCCCCTCCTGTTCCAGAGTTGCATTATGAGTCTCCATGGTAGAGCGTGCTCTTTGATCAACTGGACTTTGCTGCAGGATGGGTGTGGCTGAAAGCAGGCTACTGTGAATTAACCAGGAGTGAGAACATTAAGATCAAACTTTATTTCACCCAAAAACAGAATGATGAAGTGGCATTCTTCTCTATTGACACTATCCCATCTTCTTGTCCTTCCATTCAGGGCTGCTGACAGGTTGCTGGGGCTATTGTGCCAGGCGTGGAGATTCTGTCCACTGGTCAAGAGGCCACACTCTCAGATGTTGGCTCTGCCCTTGCCTCCCAAGGTCGGCCTCTGTATACGCAATTTCTTAGTTGCTCCTGTAAGTATAGTAAAATTCTGTTAATATGATGTTATCATTCAACAAGAGAAGAGTGAAGCAAACAGTTGTCAAGATGAGACTTGTTCCTGACATCATTGGATCATTGGTTCTTTATTGAAAAGTATAGATAATGTTTGAAATGGAATAAAAACTCAGAGGCTCAAATGCATCCGATAACTTGAAGTAACAGTGGCACATGCTTCCACAAGTGACTGTAGCTGTTTAAAACCCTGTCTTGTTTCACTAGTCAGAACACATCAAGGATTATGAAATGTGTGCTTCCCTCACATTAGAAGCAATTAAAGACAATCATATTGTTCTTTTTTTGGTAAAAATCAGCGCTCTTCAATGTCATAGCAAAAAGATGATTCAATGATAAAGTGTGGCTGGAGAGGCATTTCCTCATAAAATTTCTGAATAAATTTTGCATCACATCTTATGATGTTCCCTTGTCAATTATTAAAAAAAAATTTCTTTCTATGTCACTACTCCTGCTTTCCATTGTTATCATTAAACTCCAAGCTGCTGAAAACTGAGGATTGCTCATTCTAGCCTCAGCAACAAATACACAAACAGAAAACTCCTATTTCAAAGCCTTGTTGCAAAGAGTAGTCAATGAGTAAATAGAAATTACTGACTTATGAGAAACACTCTGACTCAGAAAGAGAATTATCAGAATAGATTTGTGAAGTGGGAGTAACTATTTACACTAATAAAAGAGAAACATGCAAATTGGTGTCCCTCTGCTACACCCACAAGCCACACCCACCAGCCAATCAGGAGCA